GTGTCCATCTACAACTAAAAAAAAAAATTTTAAAAATGTTACCGCTGTCATTTTCCTCCTAACAGAAAAATTATTCCAAAAGGGAATAGTTACAGAAATCCAAGACAGGGCAAACTGGTAGGCATTTGGGCTACCTGGGGGAGGGCAGGCTTTGGGAGCAGGAACTCTGTCCAGTGACAAGGTTAGGTTCAAGGGCGTTGCCTACCAAAGGACCTCAATTTCCATTGCTGAGGTGGATCTTGTACACCTGCAGACACAGAAAAATGCATTAAAGTACAGAATGAAATATAAAAAGGGTGATTTCTGAACAGGTCCACTACAAATTTTCCTTAAAAAATTATTTTCTAATTTAGTTGATAAAAATAGTGTACAGATTTAATTGCAGTATGAAAACTGGAGCTCACAGCTGCTTTGATTTTCTCCATAGCACAGTGATAACAGCATTACTGGAGACCATCAAGTAAATTGGCTTGTGGTGTATGCTTCTTCAGAGTGGTTTTAAAAATTACCTAGTATGAGAATCCAAAGACTTCTTAAAATTTATCCCTAAAAGTGTGTTTTTAAAAAACTATTTAAATGTAGACACTTATCTCATTAGATAATGTTATTTTGCTAACAAATGAGCATATGTGTATATGAAATAATGGTATGTCATAGCAGCAAAACTGGTTTTAAATATTGTATACAAACATAAGATCAAGGAAGTTAATCACATCCACATTGTGTGATTTGACAAGTAAAGAGTTTTTAACCAAGTCAGCACACCTTTTTATATTGCTAGATATATGTCTCTACCACGCAGGAACATTGTAAGTCTGAATGTTCTAGATATAAATCATGAATGACTGTCAATGTAATTATTAGTTAGGCCAGCTAAATCAAAGAAATTCAAAATGTACTATATGCTCTCACTGATTCTTGGAAATCAGTTTTAACACTGGTGATTAGTTAAGGAAGAAGAAAATGAAAATGAAGAAAATATAAATTGTAACAGTGGTGAAACACAAATGTTCAAAGTATATATAGCAGGAAAAAATAAAACAAGCAAAACAAAACAAAAACAAAAAACCAACCCACCATATCTAATGCTAAAAAGAAAAAAAAATAAATTTCAGACAGAGGAAAATGTGGATGGGCACCTGTCCAACAATTTCATGAAAACTCAGAGCTCTAGCACTCATTTAGGGTGTTTTCTTCTTCCTTAATGTGTGGTATTCCAGGTCCCCACCTGGCCATCCCTGCCCTGCATCCTTACAATCACCTTTTTGTGGTGGCAGAGCTCAGCTTCCTTTCCAGCAATATGTGGTTTTTATTCAGGTTGTAGTTCTCCACTTTGCTGCCTCCTCTTTTGAGCCTCACAGAATGGAGGTTTTAATGGTGAAGGCCCTGGCTCACTCACTGGAGATCCAGGATGTGGGTGATGCAAATTGTTCTCAGCTCCAGAAAGATGTGTTCTGAGTTCTCCATCTCCACAGTACCCATGGGTGGAGGTGGCCTCTGATTTTCTTTTTTTTTTTTTTATTGGTTGTTCAAAACATTACAAAGCTCATGATATATCATCTTTCATACATTTGACTCAATTGGGTTGGTTTCTATCAACTGATTGGATCCAACCACAGAGGGCGGGAAACCGACTTTAAGTCTAGTCTTCTCCTTAAAATCTTTATGTTCATCAGACTCTACATCAGGTGAGTGGTGGATCTTGGTGCTATGTTCTTCAGTTCATCCAGCAACCTGTTGTTTTTTCAACTGCTTCAGTTCCTTTAGAGTGAGAGTGGGGGCTGTTGTAATGACTGGCACACCTTATTGTGCACTGTCTTCATAAATGTCACTACTAAGGGCTTAACTTTTCAAATGGTGAAATAAGACAAAAGCCTCAATAGTCTAGGTTATGAATGATGTGCTGTTGACTCAAGCCCCTCTTGTCATGCAGGTACCCTTTACACTCTCATCAATGTAGGAGATAATCATCTTAAAATAATTTCTGCTGTTGATGGCATCACCGTAGCTGGGTATGTTCACCAGTGTAAGGCAAATCTTGAGTCCCACCTGACGACCTTTCAGTCTCAACAGTTGAAGCTGCAATTTGGTTAGTTCTTTCAACTTTCTGTGCAGTCCCAGGTATGATTTTTTCTGGGCAGAGATCAATAAGAAATAGGTTGTAGATGAGAATTAATTTCCTAGACTTGAACACCATTATTGTGAACGCTTTTTTCCCCACTCATTTTCCATGAACTTGATTGGGACTATTGCAAGTCTAACACAGTCATTTCTGGATATATAAGTTGAGCTAATTACTACTTAGACATCTTTCATAATGTTTCCGCTCTCTGTGGATCAGTTAAAGAAGAGGTAAATATTGACTATGCCATGGGCTCGCCCCTCTATCTTGTTTTTTATGATGTAAATTTTTCTCTTTCTCATCTCTAATGATACCTTTAGCAAATTCTATATTTCTCACTAATTCAAGTGGATATTTTGGAGGCATTGATGGCCTATGGGAGTGATGTAGGCAAAAATTATGTTTGGATTACAATTTTTATTTGCATTGGAAAAGCCTGTATAAGTTTATATATTTTGGGAAATTGGCTTATTTTTAATTAGGACATATATCTCCATAAGTGAATATGAAATTAAAATTTTTATTATATTTCCATTAGTTAGATTCTTAGATCTTTTACTTTTCTACTCTTCTGTAATTTTAGAAAATACTCAGGCCATTTCATGATAGGTGGGGTTTGCATATGTCCATTGTATCTTGAATGAATGCTAGCAAAAGATCCTCCTTTCCCCTGTCTTCTCTCTTAATACAAATTTCCTGTTTTTTGGAATGACTATAAGTTGTTTTTGGAAAGTCCCTTAAAATATCAAGGATATTATTAGACATTGTTGCCATATTTCATGACTACTTGGGGAGCAAGCCTGGTTTGAATGACTCTGTGAGAAGCTTGAGGAATCCCAGGGTAGATGGAAGGTATAAGTTTAAGGTTATGATTGAGGTGGTAAGGAAGTGAGACTAGTCCAATGAGATACATCATGTTCTTCCAATCAGTGCCTTTTCCATTTTGTCAAAATGAATGAAAAACAAAGGACAAAAGGAAGAAAGGCTCAGGTTTAATTTCCAGTTATATTTGCTTTTCAATTGGGGCATTTTTTTCTCTTCTAAGTTATTATTATACAATTATACTTTCCAAATAAAGTAGTTTTCTTAACTACTCTCTATTTTTAGACCTCTCCTATAAACATGAGAAAACATTAAAAAATCATTGGAGCTATTTTTTCTATTAAGGTAGAAACTAGACTCTCTAAACTCTTACATTAAGTATTTGCATTACCTTCATGCCAAAGTTCTTTGATGATTTACTAAATATAGAGTTTAAAAATTCGAAGAATAAGGTATTTAGAAATAACCAACAATGATGTGGCTTTATTACTCTCAGAACAGAATGTACATGCAGAATTCTTGCCAGGGTTTTCAGAGAAAAAAACAGGAATTCTTACTTTGATTATCTACAAAAGGCAAATATTCAGATGTTTCTTATTAACTAAGATGAATATTAAGTATGCAGATAGTGTTAAGAATTAAGTATTTTAATTTCTCAATTATTCATTAATCATTAATAAGATACATATGCAAACATCATATTGGTAGTGTTAAGAAAAGGTATTATCATTTTATATTTTAAAGTTATTGGATCTTCATTAAATACAGGAAAATCAATTTAAAATTCCTACTCTATCATAATAAATCTTTTTTTAAAGGCTTTTGATATTTGTCAATGTATTGAATAATATCTTACTACAATACTAAGTAGATAGATATTATTCTTTTTGTTTGTTAAATGAAAAAAAATGTGTAAAGTATATGTGTGAGTGACAAAGGCCCAAATTTGTGAATTAGTAATATGAATATATTCAGTGATGAGATTGCATGCTTGCTTATACATCTGGGCTCACATCAGGAAAAGGCTAATTTTGGCCACTGACTTCAAATAAATATCATCAGTCTTTGTAAGAGGTTAAAAGAAAAATTCAAATTTAACAAAGAAGAATTATCTTCTCTATTTAAATAGAAAATTAGAACTGTTTCATTTTTTCTTTTCCAATATTTCTGGCTTTTTTTGTAAAGTAGTTTTCTCTAATGGAAATAATTCCATGAGCAAATCTTCTTTAACTTTTGTTCATTTGTGGCCTGAAAGACAAGGCTGATATTCCCTTTCAGGACTCTGAGTCACTGAAAACAAAAACAAAAACAAAATAATAAACAAAAAGAATAAAAATAATAAGAACTCCTGTCTTTCTAATTTATTCTAGCCTCTTCTGTGCATAATTATTTAAAATAAGGTTGTAGAAAATATATTCCTTTTATTATAAAACTTCTCTTGAGTATTTATTAGTTTCTGTACCCGTGTCATGGAGGTTATTTAGTTAAGTTGAATAACTGGCTTATTACTAAGGCCATATCTGTGATGGAAACATGGAACTTGTTAATATCTATTTTAGTCATTATTGTTGCTATGCTTTTTCTCCTAACTTGTTTTTGAGACAAAAATCAGACTTTTTTTTTTCAGACAGTTTCAAAAGAAATAGTAGCCCTATGAAATGTCTCTTTGAGTAAATGTTTCATTGCCTTTAGATAAAAAAGCATACTTGGAATTAATAGTAGATGCAATTTGGATCTTAACTCATTTCCAAGCAAAATCACTGGGTTGGCTGCATTTTTGCAAACATCAAAATCCCAAATTTTGAAATAGGAAATAGCAGATAAAGAGCACGGTAATGAATAATAGGTACAAATTATTTAAACTGTTATGTAAAAATTTGATAAGATATGTTACATAATTTTAATGAATTGACAACGTCTTGTGGAGAAAACAGTTCCAGATGGCAAACATATGCAAGGGATCTAGTCAAACAATTTTTTTGGCAAGAATCTTATGATTTTGTAATCAGCTGGGAGCCAATGAAATACAAAGATGAATCTAGTTAATATTCTACAATTATTGGTTAAAGAAGTATATTAGGGCTAATTTCCCTGCATTCATCCTACCTTTTCTATCAATCCCACAAGCCTTTGGCACAATGAAGTGGGTAACCTTTATTTCCCTTCTCTTTCTCTTCAGCTCTGCTTATTCCAGGGGTGTGTTTCATTGAGAAGCAGGTAAGAATTCATTTTTTTCTATTGTACAACTTTTCTTTTCCTAATAAAATTTCAGTAAGCCCCGCATATTTAAAGAATTAAGTTTTACTTTAGCATTTATTTCTACAATGTGATGATTTTTTTGGTAAATCCTTATGTGGTTATTTAATTAATATAGTTCAATTATCTTAAGTAGAAACAACACTGTAAGAATCACTTAGTGAATGTAATTTCTTTTCTCTCATGAAGGAATGACAGGCAGAGTGACTTACACTTCATAGAACAGAGAAGAAGATAGGATTCACATCTATCTCTAAGACCTACGTAATGCACCTTGCTTTATTTAAAGTAAAAAAAAAATCCTGTGTTATTAATATTATAAATAGGTTTCCATTTGTATTTACTTTTAAATTGTCTTCCCAGTTGCTGTTCATAGGCAGTACAAGAGCATTAGATCTTATTCCCATTAGAAAACAAATTTATGAATATTTAATGATATTTAAAATAATATTCTTAGTGATTAAATAATTCTTCTTTAAATGCAGAATTAATTCACCATTCTAAGACTTTCTGCAGTAATCAGAATCCAATATTTTGAAGCAAATAAATAACCTAAGTTAAATGAAAAGAAATAATGGAATCTAATTAATTGTTTTCTTCAATACTTAAGCATATCTTGTGTTTTTTTCTCTCCTTTCTCTTAGACAAAAGTGAGATTATTACTCGATTTAAAGGACTGGGAGAGCAACATTTCAAAGGCCTGTAAGTTAAAATACAGAAGGGTCAAATTTAATGTTTCTGATTTGCATTGATTATTACTCTAAAAGTCTTATATTCTCCTGTCATCAGGGTCTAAATTCCAGAGCATTGTTGCCCCATAGAACTTTATGCATTAATGAAAATATTCTGTATCAGTCTAATATGGTTGCCACTGGTCATATGTGGCTATTGAGTACTTTAAATATGCCAAATGCAATGGAGGAATAAAATGTCAAATTGTATTAAAGTTTAGTTAAATTGCATTTAAGTGTATAAATTTAAATTAATTTAAAGTTAAATATAATTTTCATTAAGTTAAAATAATTTAAATATATAGAGTCACATATGGCTAATGGCTACTGTATTGGATAGTTAAAAGCTGGAATTATCATACTACTCAGAAACTCTGGTAGAATGATGGAAGGAACTAACATATGGTTCTGCTGGCAGCTCACTTACTAACTCCCCTTTACGTAGCAAATTGTTCTGTGGTTTCTTGGGAACATTTTAATATTTTTGAAATCTAGTAAAAATTGATAAATAGTCTATTTTTTAAAGATCATTACCTTCCTACAGCCTAGTTTAATGAGGTATGCATTTTTGTTTTAAATAACTCAAAGGACTTCTGCAAAGCCTACTCTTGACAATTAGATCTAATTAGTACACAGTTGTTTGTTTTCCTTATGTATGTGCATCTACTGACATGCACTCATACACATTTGGACATGGTGGAAATACTGTCCTTCCTGCCTAGGAATATGTGCCTGCTTAGACCGTACATAATACCTCATATGAATAGGCTTTCTGTATAATTATAAGAAAGATATAGAAAACATAGACTATAGACACAGATGTGATTTGCTCTCTAGCATAACAACTTGTTTTATATCAAAGCTTTATTGTGCTACATATTTCTGTTTTTATTTTATTTTTTTTGTGTGTGTTTTGTTTCAGGGTACTGCTTACCTTTTCTCAGTATCTCCAGATGACTGCATATGATGATCTTGCAAAATTCACAACTGAAGTGATTGACTTGGCAAAAGCATGTGTTGCTGATGATTCAGGGGCAGATGGTAACAAACCACTTGTAAGTTCTGATTTTGAGGACTTTTTTTCCCCTTTAAGTTATTATGAGTATATCAAAGGAAAGATTCTTTTAAAACATTATTATTAAGTAACTGAATTTGTAAGCTACACTTAAAAGTTTCATATGGACTGATGTCATTCACTGTTACTTTGGGGACCAAGATGTTGTGGGTACACCCACAGTTTTCAGAACATTTCCTCATTGAGACCACACATGACAGTCGCTGTGTTTTTAAATGGCAATTTGCATTTGTAAGCATCTCTTTTCAAAATTAGAAGTTTGGTTTCTTTTCACAGAGGCTAATAGTGATAATATATTTTTGTGTATGTATTAACTTTGTTTTATTGTGGTTAGAACACTTGACATGAGTTCTATCTTCTTAAGATTTTATGTGTGAAATACATTATTAGTGACTAGAGGTACAATATTATGCAGTAGATCATTATGAAGCCAGATTTAAAGTTAGGTAGTCAGTGTAGTTAGGTAAATCGGGTCTAATATCAAGTGAAATCTAAAATGGAGGCCATGAGGATGAATTCCCGGAAAAGTTGAGCAACTCTTGAAATGTTAATGAAGTCCAGGAAACAGCCCCCAGCAGATTTGAAGATAGCCCATCCCAAAGAAGTGTTGATGAAGTCCTTCCTGCCCAGATTACTTCTTTGGCCCACTTGTGTCTCACCCCTCGGGCCTTCCCACCTACATTCCATCACCGAAAACTATAAAATGGAGAGACAACCGCACTTCCACGGATTCCATCTCTTGGGTCCCCTTCTTCCTCGGGGAGAAGTCTTTTCTGCTGTCCTTTAATAAACTTCTAAATTCTACTCTGACCTTGCCTTCTCGTGCTTCTCTGGTGTTATTCTTCAACATTGGGGAAGCAAGGACGCGTCACCAGTCAACAGCGGTAACAATTACAGTTTATTCATCTTGCTTAAGTGAAATTTTATGCCATTTGACTAGTGAAGCCCATTTCCTCCTTTTCCTAGCCCCTGGTAGTCATCTTTCTATTCTTTGATTTTGTGAATTTGGCTATTTTAGATCCTCATATTAACAGAATCATCCAGTGTTTGTCTTTCTGTGATTGGTTTATTGTACTTAGCACAACATCCTTAAAGATCATCTACATTAATTCCAATTTCAGAATTTCCTTCTTTTAAAGGATGAATAGTATTCCCTTGTATATAGATACATTTTATTTATCCATGCAATCACATTTTCTTTATCCATTCATTTGTTGATGGACACTTCAGTTATTCGTATACCTTGACTATTGTAAATAATGCCTGACTGAATATAGGAGTGTTAATATCTCTTTGAGGTAATAACATGATTTTTATATTCAGAAAGCACCAACTGATTTATATGCTAACTTTATTACCTGGGTGGAATAACAGTAATATTTTTTCATTATTTTAGGGCCATTGATTCTTTTTCTTTTTTCTTTTCTTTTCTTTTTTTTTTTTTTGATGCGGGGGATTGAACCCAAGGCTTTGTGCTTGTGAGACAAGCACCCTGTCAACTGAGCTACACCTCCAGCCCCTAGGGTCATTGATATTTTTAAATACAATAAAAAAGCAAGGTACTCAATCTCTCTGAAGAACTTGAACGATTGCTTTTCCAAATACATCTTCAAAATATGAGGACTATGTTTCTCTCACCACTCAATCTATATATACCTCTCTGTGGGATAGGCTAGTTTTTGTCATTTATTTACTTTGTTTTACTGCTTTTGTTTCTCCTTGGATGTATCACTCTTTACTGCAGAATAAGTATTTTAACTTCCCCCAATATTCTAGTTCTACATATTAATTTTTAAAATTGCATTAAAAAATAATCTGTCTAGACGAGTGTACTTTCCCCAGGGTTACAATGACTTATATAATAAAAATGAATGAGGAGTAAAAAGATTTATTTAATGGGTGATGTACTTTGAGACAAATATTTGTATAATGAAAAATTCTATATTTTAATGCAATAACAATGTGTAGTAGATTTATGTTACTCCTTAATTTTTAAATGGTGTCTTCTAAAAAGCTGGGTCTCTCAGAAAGAAGCATATTAAATGAGAAAGTATCTGAGTACTTCCTTCTTCAGATGAATTCACCTGTTGCACTGCAGGCTAGTTTCCCTAGTGACAGGTAATAAGCAGAGAAAGGTAACATTCCTTAAAGCCATCAACTTCTTTTTGCCCTTCAGTTTTATTCATCATAAGTAATATTGTGGCAGTTGATTTTTATGGCAATTACACATAGATAGTCAAATCAAGGGAATTTAATGGGGGAAGTGAATTTTTGTATAATATCCTTTTTTGATGGTTAAATTTTTTTATAAATATATTAATTTATTTTAATTAGATATACATGGCAGCAGAATGCATTTTGATTCATTGTACACAATTGTAGCACACCTCTTCATTTCTCTGATTGTACATGATGTAGCATCGTACTATATGTGTGGTCATACATGTACCGGGGTAATAATGTCCATCACATTCCACCATATTTCCTGTCCTCATACCTCCTCCCTACTCTACTCTCCCCTTTGCCCATTCAAAGTTCCTCCATTTTTCCCATGCCCTTCCTCACCTGTTATGGATCAGCATCCACTTATCAGAGAGAAGATTAGGCCTTTGGTTTTTTGGAATTGGCTTACTTTGCTTAGCATGATATTGTCCAACTCCATACATTTACTAGCAAATGCCATAATTTTATTCCAATGCTGAGAAATATTCCATTGTGTATATATACCAAAGTTTACTTATCAATGGATATATATCCATTGATAAATAAATGGATATATACATAATGGATATATACATCCATTATGTATATATCCATTATATATACATCCATTATGTATATATACCAAAGTTTCTTTATCCATTCATCTATTGAAAGGCTTCTAGGTTGCTTCCACAGTTTAGCTATTGTGAATTGAACTGCTATAAACATTAATGCGGTTGCATTACTATAATATGCTGATTATAAGTCCTTTGAGTATAGACCAAGGAGTGGGATAGCTGGGTCAAATGGTGATGGGTTTAAAATTTTGTATTTAAGATTATTTATATTTAAATTCATGTTTCGACTCATACATTAAAATTACACATATTCACATACATGATATACCACACATATTTGCAATATAGATGATTTTTATCACCTTTATCTGTATGTTAAATTTTTATAGTGTTCTTTGGCAATAAAGAAAATAAAGTCCTGCCCAGTAATGTGTAGGTTGCTCTCTTCCATTTAGGATACTATCTTTGGAGAGAAAACATGCACAATTGCCACTCTTCGTGATACCTATGGTGAGATGGCTGACTGCTGTAATAAACAAGAGTTGAGAGATACCATTGCCTTGTAAAGTATAAAGATGAGAAGCTCAACCTCCCTCCACTTGATCTAAAAAAATACTGATGCTATGTGTGTTACCTTTGAAGAGAGTAGCCAGAAGATTTGGGGACAGTAAGTTATCTATGTTTCAAAATTAAAAATTAAGTAATAAATCAATACTCATTACAATAAGTACCATACCACAAACCATTTCCAACATTAAGACTTGCCCCTCATTGATATACAAAATTACATATAAGAGAATTTGAGGGGGAAGGGAAAAAAACAAGAGAAAGAATTAAATTACAACAGATGGGGTAGAGAGAGAAGATGGGAGGGGAGGGGAAGGGGGATAGTAGAGGATAGGAAAGGTAGCAGAATACAACAGTTACTAATATGGCATTATGTAAAAATGTGGATGTGTAATTGATGTGATTCTGCAATCTGTATTTGGGGTAAAAATGGGAGTTCATAACCCACTTGAATCGAATGTATGAAATATGATATGTCAAGAGTTTTGTAATGTTTAGAATAACCAATAAAAAAAAAACAGAAAAAAAAATAAGACTTGGAAGTTTTGATCTCATGTTGAATTTTAAAGAAAAAATATTTCACACCATGAAATTCAACACAACCAAAAATATGATCAAAGATAATTGATCTTGAAACAGGATATGATCCATATTAAAATTTGAAATATGCATATTTTAAAAGATTCTGAAGAAATATATAGTTATTCTCAGGATTGATTTCATTTTAGTCAGCAATATTATATCACCCCAATTTAACCATTTATATATGATTCACATACATGCATATCACAAATTCATCCTTTCTTTTCACTGACTTAAAGAATGACAAAGACAAGGCTATCAGACACAAATTGAGCTTCAATGGTAAATTATGTTTTTGGGTTTTGGAAGCTCGGGGGAGAATGTTGATTGTAATTGTTTCTGTAATATCGTGTGGTATGGAAAAGTGACTTACTATTATCCTTTTTTAAATGTTAGGTTTTTATATGAAATTTTCAGAAGACATCCTTACTTCAGTGGCTCAGAACTCATTTACTTTGCTGAAAAGTTTAAAGACTATCTGACAGAATGTTGCCCAGCTGCTGATAAAGGAGAATGCCTGACCCCAAAGGTATTTCCCAAAAAGAAGAATAAAAGAACCAGTTCATAATACAACCTCAGATTTTTAACATCTTGTGGCTGGCTAGATTTAGGAAACCTTAATCTCCTGAAGAAAATCCCCTCCATGTTCAAAAGAGCCTTCCTTACTCTTATGTCCCCGAAAGAAATTTTATTCTCTTTGAAGGCCTCTCCTATTCTTCCTTCCACGTTCTGAGCTTTACCAGTGCTGATCTGATGGAGGGAATCACTGTGCACATAGTTAAATGCCCTGCTCCTCTCTATGGTGAGGATCTCTATAGTGAAGTGTTTGTCAAATTGCACAGCAAGGGCCCATAGTTTTGTTTTCTTTTTCATGAGATTTTTTGTTGAAGAGGGAATTCAAAGTAGAGTATATTACTGCAACTAGAAGCAAGAGCTCGTTTATTCCTTCCATTGAAAAACCAGCCTCTACCTCAGAGCAAAGCCTGTCCAAGGAAGGGACATCACCTTTGTCCTTTGAAAGACCCACAGAGCACTCCTAGGCACATCCCCACCCTGCTAAGTTGTTTATCTACAAATAACAGGAGAGATCTGCTGTGCCAGGTGTCCCTGACTCAGTCAGGCTAGGTGGGGATCCATAGCAACCCCTTAGCAGTCACCAATCAGCATGAGACAGGGAAATACCTGGGATGCCAGATGACCCTCCCAGTAGTTTATGGTGGTTGATAACATGTTGGGAAACCATGTAGTTCAGCACGTACACCCCTCTTGGCTTAAACCAATCAGTTCAAATGAATACCCCTTTTGTACTGACCAATCACCCCTACCCAACTTGTTCCTGTCAGTGAATGTGCTAATCATGTTTTAGAGTTGTTATTTGATTTTCCCGCGGTGTGTGATGATTTGCTAAGAGATGCTATGATGTATGTGGGGGTCCTTGCCTTCCCCAAAGAGTGTATAAAACTGCTGCAAACCCTGTGCTCGGGGCCTCTCAGCGTCACCAGTTGCTGTGTGTGCGTGCGGAGGACGGAGCTAGCTCTCGATAAACACCTCTTTGCTGCTTACATGGATCTTGGGTCTCTGGTGGTCTTTTGGGGGTCCCGAATTCAAGCATAACACCATACGTGCCGCAGTCCGGCTGCAGCAAAATAGCCCAGGGGGGTGACGAACAACTTGTGTACATTGATACAGCAAGAGTGGAAGCCCTTTATTGTAGGACAACAGAGGTATTTATACATTCCACACAGCTTATCTTAATTAGCATAAACTAGATACAGCAGTCAACCAATAAGGAATCTCCACACTTAATGGCTCACTGGAGTTACTTCACAAACCACTCCCTCTGGCATTTTGCCAGGTGCCATCCAGACTTGTTTACAGACTCTAACATTTCTCTGGCAAAATGCCAGGCGCCATCCTGACTTGTTTACAGACTCTAACATTTCCCCCTTTTGTTTAATTTAAATAACCACAATAGTGGTTTTTACATAAACACCACAAATAATCTGCTATGAGCAGAAGGGGAGGATACAAAATGTCACAATACCAAGCCAATTGATGGCTCCATGCAAGAAGCCCTTGGAAAAATTATACCAGCAATGACACCATTTGCAAAGATACCGAGTTACAATTTGTTGTAGATTACAGTTTGTTGTCTCAGTCCAGGTAAAGCAGTGTCTCAATAGATTAACTCACAGTCCAGGTAAATCACAGTCCAGGTAAGTTCTGCAGGCAGCTAGCTTGATCCGAAGTCTCCTCAGGTTTTCAGCAACACTGGAAATTCTTCCACTTTCGTTTTCACCGGCACTGGGACAAAGGCAGGAACTCCGGATGGCTAAAGAAAATCCTGTAGCATTCCATTAAGAAAACAACCTTCTGAACAATTTAGTAGTTATTGACATTGGAAATGACCAAACCTCAGGGACGCCGGGCGTGTCCTCTGCCGCCAGACCGTAGCATCCTGGGCAGCCCCAGAAGGCCCGGGGAGGGGAGAGTCTGGGGAGTGTTCCGGACTCAAACTGCCACTGGGCACAGGGAGCAAGAGCCTGCGAGACCATGCCTCCGAGTCAGGTTTGGATTTGGGCTCTCGCAGTGGCATCCTGCTCCTGGGCAGGGGTCGGGGAAGAGCCGGCTGCCACCGCTTGGAAAGTCCTTGCTGCGCCATGACCGGCTCGCACACTTGGCAGCCGCCTCGCCGCTTCACGCACCCTCCGGTAATGAAAAGTATTTAGTAATAGCCTTTTGCTGCAACTTTTTTCCTGATAATCCTTCTTCTTCTGAACTTTCTTTTTCTTTCTGACTAGAGTTCCTGGGCTTCCATCAACACATGCCCTAACTATTCTTGGTTCCACTGGGGTGCCTCCTTCCCTTAGTAATTTACTTCTCACCCCTTCCATATTTTCATCATAAAGACAATACAATACACTGAGACAAAACAAGACACAAACATACTGTATCAATCTTCTCCATTTTCTCAAAATGGCCATTTTTCCTCTCACCCTATCTGCCTAGGGACGAGCAGATTTGCTCCCGTCCTATCTATGGATGGGCAGCTTTTTTTTCGTCACTTACCCCCGAGTGTCCCGGGGCTCCCTGTAACGGGCCACCATCTGCCGCAGTCCGGCTGCAGCAAAATAGCAGGGGGTGACGAACAACTTGGGTACATTGATACAGCAGGAGTGGAAGCCCTTTATTGTAGGACAACAGAGGTATTTATACATTCCACACAGCTTATCTTAATTAGCATAAACTAGATACAGCAGTCAACCAATAAGGAATCTCCACACTTAATGGCTCACTGGAGTTACTTCACAAACCACTCCCTCTGGCATTTTGCCAGGCGCCATCCAGACTTGTTTACAGACTCTAACATTTCTCTGGCAAAATGCCAGGTGCCATCCTGACTTGTTTACAGACTCTAACACATACGTATTTATTGTGTGCCTCATTCGGTTTTCTGAGGAGTTGATTGATGTCGTCAGAGGAGGGATTACATGGATTATGCACAAAACTAAGAAGTCAGCTAAATTTTATGTTTGAGGGATATTAAGGTTCACTTTCTCTTTCAGAAGCCTGTTCTCTGGCAATGTGTCTATGCTGATTTTAACTACTCAGAGGCTTCCATTATGACAAGGCTAATTTTTCCTTTTACATAGCAAAATAATTATTTCCCAAAGGGAGTATGTGGGAATTTAGATTGAATGTGGCATAGTCTCATCTGAGTTTATGAAGTTGTGTTTTGTACAGAAATTTTCTTTTCTGCGTTTTTTTTCAAACTGCTTTCTTTCTGTAGATTGAGTGTATGAGGAAGATAATACTGCTTTTTTCTGCCAAATATAAATTCAGGTGTAGCATTATTGAGAAATCCAGAGAAAGAGCTTTCAAAGCATGGTAAATATTTTTTAACACAATTTGTGTATTTATAAAAATGTAAAAGTGATAATGATTCCATTGACAAAAGTATACATTTATGTGTCATTTCTCCCAGTGCTTACAAATATAGTTTGTTGTTGTTGTATAAAAGGTAGAAAATTCTTAGAAGTTAAAATCATAATATAACTAATAACTTCCCATTATTTTCTTTCTTATTTTTCTATGTTGTTAAAGAATTTGGAATACATCATATTTTTTTGTCCTAAAAAGACAGACATATAAATTCTACTTTTTTATTAAGACTAGGAATCTCACTCTAATAGTCAATTTTTTAATAGAGCTCTAGTCAGTGTCTTTTATTTAATTTTATTCTGAAGCATCTACTTCTCTTGTTATGTCCTATAATTAAATCCAGTCACCAAGTAAGCCCAATATTCTGAAGCATCTACTTCTCTTGTTATGTCCTATAATTAAATTCAGTCACCAAGTAAGCCTAAGTTACTACTTATAGTTTTTGCCTAGCTCCAACTCTGGTCTTAATCTTGTGTTTTTGCTTGGGCTTCTGTTTTTATACTATTTAGTTGATTCTGGGAACATCCTTCAGTATCTGACTAAGAAAAATATTACCTGCCCTTCTAACCCCTCACTTGTCAGAAAATAATGGGTCAATAGAACAGGAGATAAAATTAAAATAATAGACATTATGCATGCTTTTTAGTAACTGTCAGTTGAAATGTCTTTGCTTATCATTGTTACTGTCCAAGCCATAAAAACCAACCAAAATAATAAACAAAATGCCCATAATGTGAACCAATGCACGTTACACAGGCAATGACTGGTTCCGGGAAAGAAGTCTCTATTTCTGTATTTAGACAGCCCTGAAATGATTTTGGAAAGAATGATGACATTAGCCTTTTATATCTTGTCATAGAGCTTTGAGGTGATGCCTGATCAATTTCTTGGTAAAAGTTTGTTTAATAAAAACTCCATCATTATGTAGATGTTATGAAATTAGTTTTCTTGAAGAATTTTAGTAGTCAGGAAAAATGGGTTTTAATGAAGGAAAAGAGTAACTGGAGTTTGTGTGATACTTCCCAGTTGTAAAATATTTTCACATGTATTATCTAATTTAATCTTCAAATTAGTTCTTCACTTTAGCATAATGTTGTGACACTGAGAAGGCTAAAGCTCAGAGAAGTTAAGTAACTTGCCTAGGTATTACTGCTAAGAAGATATGAAATCAGATCTGGAAGTCAGAGCTGGGCTCCGTACCTCATGCCCCTCATACTGTTGCCCCTTTCAGCATTCCTCTTTGATTGTTGATTTTATACATCATCAGCTTTCCACTCACCACACATTATTTAAAAAAATTTTTTTTCTTATAATATTTTTTGAATTGTCAATAGACCTTTATTTAATTTATTTATATGTGGTGCTGAGAACCGAACCCAGGGCCTCACTTGTCCTAGGCAAGCACTCTACCACTTAGACACAACACCAGCCCCCACCACACACTCTTACAAAGGATAATTTGAAGTAAACAAGGAAAAAAAAAGATCACCATTTGGTTCAGCTCTAACATTAAAATAACAAATGAATTTAAAAATTTTTCTATAGGTTAGTCTGTTTTGAATTTTTTTTTTTGTTATAAATAGCATTTTCATAGGGCTTTCACATTGCCTGATAATAATATATTGATGGGGGGATTTCCTTTTCAGGGAAGTAGCTCGTCTAAGCCAGAGATTTCCCAAAGCTGACTTTACTGACATAACCAAGATGGCAGCAGATCTTAACAAAATCCACATGGAATCTTGCAAGGGTGATCAGATTGAATGTGCACATGACAGGGTAAAGAGCCATTAATTTTCCTTTTTTAGCTTACATTCTTAAGTGGGTAGAGTAGATGTACTTAGCATCACTGGAGACAACTGGCTGTGGTTTACGTGGTCTTCTGGGCTTTCATTTGCTCCTCTCCAAGCTTTTCTTTCTCTATGGTACTTTCTTGTAAACCCTACTATCCTAATTACTAAATGACCTGAAAAACTCTTTCACCCATTTGTAACCTTTTTCGGTCATATTTTGAGAATCTAGGCTGAAAGTGAAGGAGGACAGCTGGTTGCTAACATATTTGTGGTAGGGGAAGGTTGGGTTGGAGAAGGGCCATTTTTCTCAAGAGACCTTTGGAAAGGATGTATTTTCCACCTCTATGTTGTCTCCTTTCATTAAGTGTTTTCCCCAAACATGATCTCTTTCCCCAAATTTGTAGTATTGTCTCTCTTTCTTCAAAGATTAAAAATAATGACCATATATCAGAATCTTGAGCTTTCAGATTTTAAGAAATTTAAGACAGATATTTTACACATATAAGCAAAACTCATGACTGTCATCTTGACTCATTTGTTAAAAATCTTTCATGCTTTACTTAGTTATTTGGTTTCAAAATGCCTACATTTATTTTGAGGGAAATATTTGAAAAAGTAGCATGGAGTTTTAATTTAAAAAACAAATGCCTCAAGAGTAGAAATATAAAATTAATAAATAGCTGAGATTAATTAATTATAATAAACAAACAAATGATAACTGGTTTCTAACTAATGTATTTTGATCAAGTAGGTGTGTTTTAGTCGCTTAGAGCCTCAGAAGTACTGACAGAGGATATGTGTTCATAGAAGACACATTGGTTGTGAATGAACGAATACAGTGAATGTGTTCTGCAACATCAAAGTCTGGAGAGAAAGTGTAGCAATGCCAATTTATGTTGAACAATGTTGACCTCCTCACAGGTAACCCTTTTCAAGTACATTTGCGATAATCAAGATATAGTCTCCAAGAAAGTGGGAGAATGTTGTGCTAAGCAGGAGTTGGAAAGATCCCACTGCATTGCTGAACTGGAAGAGGATGACAAGCCTGCTGACTTACCCCCACTAACAGCTGATTTTGCTGAGGATAAGGATGTTTGCAAAAACTATGCTGAGGCAAAAGATATCTTCTTGGGCACGTAAGTTAGATGAGGAATTAGCCTTTCATAGCTCTTGATTTAGGAAGATCATGATTTTTGAAGATATGCTAGGCTTTCCTTTTGAGTTACTACAGTTTCCATGTTGCCCAGTATGCTTCTTTGACCTATTGTTTCCCAGTCTTTAAAGGTTAAAAAAACTAAATAATTTCAAACACTGTCATTCAGTAAATATTCATGGTAAAAGTTCAATGTTCCTTACTCCTTAGGAAAATTGCTAGAAATATTTCTAGAAAGATTTTTTATGTATGCAAATTATGTACATAACATTTATTTGTTCAATCATTCATTATGCTAAGTGAAGTTAGCCAATCCCTAAAAAACAAATGCCAAATGTCTTCTTTGATATAAGGGGGACGACTTGAAACAGAGCAGGGAGGAAGAGCATGAGAAGAAGATTACCATTAAACAGGGACAAGAGGTGGGAGGGAATGGGAGAGAAAGGGGAATCGCACAGAAGATGGAAGGAGACCCTCATTGCTATACAAAATTACATATAAGATGGTGTGAGGGGGAAGAAAAAAAAGAGAGAGAGAGCAGTGCGTTACAGTTGATGGGGTAGAGAGAGGTGATGGGAGGGGAGGGGAGGGGAGGTGGGATTGGAAGGGTATAGGAAGGGCAGCAGAATACAACAGACACTAGTATGGCAGTATGAAACGTGGCTGTTTAACCAATGTGATCCTGCAATCTCTACACGTTGGAAAAATAAGAATTCATACCCCATTTGAATCAAATGTATGATATATGATATGTCAAGATCATTGTAATGTTTTGAGCAACTAATTTAAAAAAACCACCAAAAAAAGAGAAAAAAGGGTACTTCTTAAATATCTAAAATATATATTAACTTATATTGCCTATCAATCATCTATCTACTCATCTATCTCTATCCATCTGTGTGTTGACAGCAAAGATATATAAAATGAAGTATAGAATATGACACTAGGAGTTTCATACTTGGATGAAAAGGCTAAAAATTCAGTAGCATGACAAGACAGTTAAATAACAAATGATTATATATGATCAGTAAGAATGATGACAAGCATTACAATTTTATTGTTGGATTACACTAGCTACTTTTGCACTAAATTATAATTACTAAAATGATGTATCATATAAGATTTCAATGATATAAAGATAAAAAAGAAAATTTCAAGAATATATCTCTGTCTAGGACAATACTTTTGAGATATAATACAAATAAAACTATAAAATACATAAAAATGACAGGTATGATTCACAGTATATTTAAGATGTGTCAGGTAGTATATGTTTTGCACACATTGTGTCATGTGTTTCTTCTCATAATCCAACACATGGGATGAATATTATTATCATTCCCATCTACAGAGGAGGAAACTGAGGCGCTTTAGTTTTAATAAGTTGCCTAATGTAATAGAGTAAAATAAGTGGCAGAACCAGAAATTGGGCCCAAGAAGGAACTCAAGTCTTTTGCCACTAAGCTTCACTGCATGGGGATTTGTCAAATTCAGACCCTGGGGAGATGAATTACACTTGGAGTGAGTTAAGTACATATTATTTCTCATTGGTTCAACTAAATCTATGTTTCTCTTATTTAGGTTTGTGTATGAATATTCAAGAAGGCACCCTTAGTATGGTTCCCTCTTGTTGCTGAGAATTGCCAAGGCATATGAAGCCAAACTGGAGAAGTACTGTACTGAAGCTCATCCTCCTGCATGTTATGGCAATGTGGTAGGTGTCCTGCAGGAAAAGAAGAATATAGCTCTTTGCTGATTCTAATAATGAGAAAGAAAAACAATATAAGACTGAAATGATACACAGTACAAGTTAGATATTTTCTTGAGATGGATTCAATTCTGAGCTCTTAAACATTTTTCGGAAAATAGCCTTAAATAGAATGGTTAATAAACCTTAGAACAGTTGATCTAGAAAAAAAAGATATAAAGACAGTAATCTCTAATTTCACAAAATCTTGGCCATCATTTCTTTGTTTTCCATATTACCTGAATCAAATAAGATCAGTTAATTTACATGTCAATTAAAAGAGATGTAACTTTGATATGAAGAAAGTTAACCTGACTCAAGATTATATCAAGTACTGGTGATAATATCTTAAGGGAGGTTATGAAACTTATTTCTTTAGAATATTTAAAAATCTTTTTGAGAAGGTTTAGGAAATGTTTTACAAGATGATAAGTTAGAATACATCTGTTCTGGAGAATTTTAGGGTGCCTACTATTATATATTAAAGGTTTCCAAACTGTTATAGAATCAGAGAAAGACTTTTCTTTCCTCTACCAAGAAGCTGCTGTATGCCAGGCACCGTCCTGCAACTGATGCTGAGGGCAACATTCCTCAGAGAGCTGAGGATCCAACTGGAGAGATGGCCTAATAATAATAATAGTAATAATAATACTCAGGACCAACATTTATTGGCCTTTTACTATGTACAAGGTGCTATTTTAATTTCATTAGCTTAGTTGATTCCCAGAGCAATTTTGGGTGGTGAGCACTATTTTTACCTCTATTGTGAAGATGAGGATTCTGAATCTAGAACTGGTAAGTAAGCTGCACTACTGGAAAATGAATCAGGTGGCCTGGCTCCAAAGCCAGCCACTGAACTCTGAGGCTGAAGATTCTTAACTACGTGCACTATACAGTCTTGTCAAATAAGAGAAACAATTTGATGTGATGTGATAGATGTGGCACTGAACATCTCATGTTTTTGGGCAGAAAGAAGGAAGGGGTAAAAAATGACCAGCATCTGGTCCTCAGAAGGATATATAAATGGATTCTTTTATGTTCCAGTTTAAGGAATTTGAGCCTCTTGTGACTGAGCCTCAGTCAAGCAAAGCTGTGATCTCTATGAGCAGGTTGGAGAATATAAATTCCAAAATGCGTAAGTATTTTTGTTTATTCGCTGACTTTTTTCCTTGACCAATTTGCTATTATTTAATACTTCATATATAGGCTGCCTAGCATATGACTTTTAATAGCAAAGATACACATATATTTCTAACCTCTCTTTATTAAGAAAGTCTGGAGAGTAGAGAAAATACAGTCGATGGGATGCAGAGGCCTCTATTTGTGTACAGTTTTTAAAAATGGTCTCTTGAGACTGGGAGTATGAAGGCTGAGAGGGTTAGTGACAAATATTGGGGATGTTCCTTGAAGATTAAGGGATAGTTTGTGAGTAAGTGAACCCTAGCAGCATTTTACAGAACAGGAAGTAGTAGGCCTCGAATAGCAGTAGTTCAAGAAGTAATATAAAAGGTAAACCAAAAACATGACAAAAATATGGACTTAGCTAATATGGGAAATTGCATTCCTATTAGTCCATTGGTGGGAAGAGTGGATGTTCAGAAGATACATTAGACTTTGATGGTCATGACCTTATTCTCCTGTGGAATTTCCCTCCCTAGAAGAGATAGAGACAAAAGGACATGCTGAAGTCATGTCCCCATTTAACAGGCCTTTATATATGGAGGAAAAGTCAAGAAAGAAGAAGGGACACATGGTTCACTAGGAATTTATTGTGCAGTTTATATACAGCGTTAGCACTCTTTTAACTATAGCTCAGGGCAAACATAGTGAATAATACATAGATTCTTCCATTAAGTAGATTACAGTCTTACACTGACTTTACATGGTGATTGGGATTCTTTATAAGTGATTCTTACATGCTGGATAACATGCCTTGTTCATTGCCTATATTATCACTTTCAATTTAATCCTTGCACCATTCCTATTGAGGCAGGGATATTTCCTCCCATTTTTCACCTACATCTTTCAAATTTATCATAGTCCTGATTTATGTTATACTCTTAAAAGAATTTAATGAAACAAAGATGCAATAATAAGTATACTAATGCCACTGGATTATAATAAAGTAGCTAACCTTCCTGAGATTATTTGGTGCAGGTGGTATTCTAAGCCATGTTTAATAATTGGTCAGGATAAAGTCTTTTTCTGACACTAAGCCATCATCCTGAAGATGAAGATAATTTTTGGTAGCAGGCACTGGGGATTGAACGCTGGGGAGCTTTACCACTGAGCTACAACCCTATTCTTTAAAATTTTTTTTTGAGACAGAGTTTTGCTAAGTTGTTTAGGCTCTCACTAAATTGCTGAAGCTGGCCTCAAAATTGTAATTTTCTTGTCTCAGCCTCCTGAGCAGCTGTCTTGCATAACTGCACTTGACTTAGACAAACATAATTATATGATTGACAAATAAGAATATATTAGTTGATTTTAGTTTTATTTGAGTTTTCTCTGCTGATATACTGTATTAGAAAAAGACAATTTCTTGTTTGGCTAAACACACATGGTCTTTTTTTTCCCCAACAGACTTTTAATTCGTTACACTTAGAAAACACCCCAGGTGTCAACTCCAACGCTTGTGGAGGCTTCAAGAGACTTAAGAAGAGTGTCTGACAAATACTGTAAGCTTTCTGAAAAACACAGAATGCCCTGTATTGAAGACTATGTGAGTCTTTTAAAATATAATAATTTTAATACTAACTTCTCATCTTATGAAATTGACAAAGCTACCTTTCAGAGGCAGGAGTGGACTAATGTGTGAACTTGACTAACAGGGATGTATCTGTATGTAAATATTTTTGTATATGTGTGTGGTGGTGGCAGTCAAAACTTGGTCACCTATATTATCCTGACTACCAAAGTGAGAATTTAGATAAGATCTCAAAACTTAAACTTATTAGTTTTTTAAAGGATCCCCGAGTTTTCAGTCTTCTGGTATTTTCTAAATTTTTACTTTCTTTGGGGTCTCAATTTCATATGCCAGTATAAGACTCCTTCGTCCCTATCTAACACAGATACCAGGACATATCATCTCCAATTATTTTGATGAATTATTTTCTCATATTACTCTTCATATGTAGACTTACTTATAAAAGAGACAACTTTGAAGAGTCCCTAATGTTAAGTTCCAAAAATAGTCATTTACTTCCTTTGGATTCATTGTTAGTAGTTTGATATGTCACTTCTTTGGGTGCATGGGAAAATGAGTATTCATGGAAAACCTTCAATTTTACCTCTTTTGAATTTCTGCTTTCCTTCCTGTTCTTCAGCTGTCTGCAGTCCTGAATTCATTGTGTGTGTAATGCATGAGAAGAATCCAGTGAGTGAGAGTGTCACCAAATGCTGTTCTGAGTCCTTTCTTAACAAGTGGATATGCTTTTCCGCTCTGCAAGTTGATGACACATGTTCTCCCAAAGAATTTAATGCTGAAACATTCACCTTCCATGCAGATATATGCACACTTCTGGAGACTGAGCAACAAATCAAGAAACAAATGTGAGCAGTATTTTATTATCACATGTTTGTAGTCTTGATAATGAGAACTGTTAATTAAAAGGAGCAAACTGTCTCATGTAATGATTATATTCCTTAGAGGAAAGTACTTAAGTATTGGTCTTATTAAGTCGATAAAATTGTCAAGAAAAAAATGAATGGCTTTTTCCCCTTAGAGGGCAAAAACTATATTAGACTCTTACCTGCATCCTAGTGATATTTTGGATGAAAACCATAGTAGAATAAGATCATAGGCCAGGTCCAGTAGAAAAGGCTGAACATTTAATTGATGAATTTGTGTCCAGAGCAAATTAGTTGTATAAATCACAGGGGGATTTATTTCTAGGCATGAAGGGTACTCAAAGTTTGTTCTAGAGTGACTCCACAGGTGAGACAAAACCCTGTAATGTGACTTTTGATAATGACAATTGAATAAAAACATCTAGAAAATGTGAGTTTTGAAGCTTCACTCCTCAATGCACAGGGTGAGAATAGCATGAACTTTAGCAAGAGAAAGTTGCTGTCATCTCTGGTGGCCTGTAATCATGGTTAGGAGTTAAAAATAATAATACAAAACCTATTATTCCCACACAACACACTCTCTGTTTCTATTGTCTTTTCAGATGTCAATGAAGGAGAACCACCACCTTACACTTGTTTGGACAGTCTTAACTCATGTAAACTCCCCATAATTAACCTTTAATAGGACAAATTTCACAGACCAACTTTGAAGATTTTTAGAGAAGATTTTAATGAAATTCAAGGTCATTAAAAATTTAGGGATTATTTAAAACCCTTTAATATCTGTAAAAGTCAATATGACATAACTTCTACAATTTGAACGTCTAAATGCTATGACATATGCTTTCTGGAGATCTACTGAAACTAAGTAAAACATTGAGTGATTTGCACTGATTATCTTATTTGATCCTCCCACCAGCCCTAGTGAAGTGGATTTTAGTATCCTCACATGAGGTTAGAATGGTTTGCCTGACCTCATACCCAGAGCTGCCTGGCTCCAAGATCTATAATCTTTTTTTGAAACTGAAGATTGAACCAGGGGTGCTTAACCATTGATCCATATCCCCAATTCTCTTTTATATTTTATTAAGAGACAGGGTCTTGCTGAGTTGCTTAGGGCCTCACTAAGTTGCTGAGGCTGGCTTTGAATTGAGGTCCTTCTGCTTCAGCCTCCTGAACTGCTGGGATTACAGGTGTGTACCATGGTGTCCCACAAGATTCGTAATCTTAAATGATGGCACTGATATTCTTATTGTCTTAATTTTTCTTTATGTCATTAAACTTTTTCTTGTTGTTTCTTTCATTTTCTGTTCAAATGCAGAGCACTTGCTGAGCTGGTGAAACACAAGCCCACAGCAACAATGGATCAACTGAAAACCGTGATGGGGGATTTCGGAGCTTTTCTAGAAAAGTACTGCAAGGCTGACGACAAGGAGGCCTGCTTCTCCGAGGAGGTGCTGGAGCTGCTTTCATTTTAATATTTCCAACTTTCATTTTTGTGCATTTGGTCAGTCAGAGGTTAGGGATTTAGGTTTTGAAAGATGTGTGGAGCAGAGATCTTATTCTATGAACAATTGTCTAACAAAATGAGTTTAGTAGTTCTTAGTTTTATCTCCTGCTGCACTGTGGCATACTATTAAATTTTTGTAATGTCTCTTCTGTTCCAAATTTGTAATTGGTATGAATAGATAGACATATTTATAAGGCCTAAAATGTTTTGGCCAGTAAAGCAAAGCATTAATTTATTTAAACATTTTTCTGAAAAATGCTGGTTTCTCCTTTAATTGAATTTTATAAGTTAGTGGGTGTGGGAATGAACATTTAAATATCAAAATCATTTAATAGTTACCCCTATGGCCTGACTCTCTCTCTCTCTCTCTCTCTCTCTCTCTCTCTATATATATATATATATATATATATATATATATATATATATATATATATATAGATACACACACACACACACATACACACACACACACTTGGGGAGGATGGTTGTTGGTGAACTTCCTTGTAGTGATCCTGGTAGTAAACGACAATTGCATGTACAATCACTTTATAATCACTTATTTTTTGTATAACCTGCTATTTTTTGTATTCTATGGTAATGCTAATATTTTCTCAACATCTGTCATTTCTTTGTATTCAGGGCCCAAAATTGGTTGCTGCAAGTTAAGCTGCCTTAGCATAAAAACATCACAAGCATCTCAGGTAATTATACTTTAGATTTTTAAAAAAGTAATTATAATTACTATTATTAAAAAAACAAAGATGACTGAACACTTGTCAAGAGCCATATGGACAAGCACCAAACACTACTCTTAGCTCTTTATATATATATTAACTTATGTAATTATCAAAATAATGTCTGAGTTGGGTACTCTTGTTATTATCATTTTGTAGATGAATAAATGGACACATAGATAAAAGGGTAGGTTACATAATTTATCTACTTAAGGGGTAACCCAGATAGTAAGAGGTGGAGTCATACTTCAAAATTCCAACAAGAGCTTAAGAGTTTACCATTGTCCTCTTCTGACATATGTGACCTGTGTGCAGAGTCCTCTCAGTGATGCCTCACGAGCAGAGACTCTAGGTATTAGAACCATATGAAATAACATTTTGCAGATTAAAAATATCAATGAATATCAGTGGATTCACACAGTTCAACCTAAATACAATTCAATAAGGGATCTATCCTATATGAACTTGTACTATAGAATGAATAATGTGCTGCTAAATTTTCAACATGTTAATGTGCTAAAATACAATAGAATTTCTCTTCTTATGACAAAAGGCCCACTTTAAAACATATATATTTGAGCATAAACATGATTGACTATTTTTTTGGTTAATATTTTGCTGCAGAATATAAAAAATAGAATAGCACTGAAAAAAAGTATTGGTAAAACCAGGTTGTTTAATCATATAATAATTCCTACTTGTGCATTCAAGCCATTTTGTATCTCCCAAAATTTGGTCATTCTCAAATGTGATGTGTTTCAGTCCTAAGAGGAAAAATTTCTTCCTAGGGTTCCAAATCTGAGCTTTTTTGTTTAGGTATGACTTAGGTAAGAGTAGGTGCTAGATAATCCTAAGGAGTGGTGATAGAGGCCTCTTGAGTCTGGTGGAACCAGTGATGAAGAGGGGGCCTCACCACATGTTTATATGTCCTGTGCCCTGGTTCAACAAAAAGGGAACCCAGCCAAGCCTTGGAAGAATCAAATTGTTTCTGCTGGTGGAAATCGCCTAAAGACAATTGAAGCAATTTAGCATTAGTTGTAACAGATTGGAAAAATATATGATGTCTTATAAATAACTCTTCTATTTTCTCCTTTTGTTTTCCAGCCTGCCCAGAGAAGAAGAGAAAGAAACTAAGACTTTATTCATCTGTTTGTCTTTTCTGTTGGTGTAAAAATCAACACTCTAAGAAACATAACTTTCTTCAAACATTTGTCCTCTTTGCTCTATGTTATAATTAATAAAAAATAAAAAGAATCTAATATTGTGGTCCAGGACTGTTATTTTCCAAAAGTGTGTTTCCATCCTGAAAATTTTGTGGATCTGTGAAAGTTTCAATTTTCTGTCTTTCACCCCACTTCAGCAGAGGTCTTCTAGTTCCTTAGAGGATACTTCATGAAAAGAAATGTTATTTCTCATCTGAGTTATGAATTATAAACATTCAAAATAGCATTTTAACATTATGAAAGAACAACACCTGTGGCAGGGATAGGGCATTTACAGCCTGCCCCTTTCTTTTTACTACTGGGACTCTCTGACTACTAGGGAGGGACAAAAGAGATGGAGATGACTTTAAAGGTAGCTAATTAAATTTAAAAAGCATGTTTTTCTCGGAGAAATTTAAGACAATTCAGAATGCCAATACACGAAACACATAAGTTTTAGAAAAGCATTATTGGAAGAAGGGGTTGGGTGATCTGGAGGAACTTATATCCAGGAGTGATTAAACTATATTGCACTAATGAAGTACAAGCGTCTTTATAAGTTTCTTGTAAAGAAGTTGAGATGCTATACCCAATGTGGGTCTCTTTTCCTTTTTCCCGGAAGTAATTACTCATCTCATACTTTTATCTAGGAATTTAAATACTTAGTCATTTATAGTCTTATTAGTTTGAACATTTTATATTGACTTGCTTACTATTTCACAACTTGTTCTTAATAAATAGTGCTTTATAGTTTTATTTGAAGACTAATGCTTGTACAAATTTTAAAAAAAAGTTCCCTTCTTTTCTTGTTATGTTCTGTGCTCCCACATCCCATGCCCCCATCCCTGTGCAACCCCTACTTTGGCCTCAGGTCAAATGAATCAAACACTTAACACATTTGTTGCAACCATCCCCAAAGCAGGAAAGAGCCTAGTGGGGAGAATGAAGACTGGGGTCTCTAACTGAAGGCCTGAGAGGCAGACCTGAAAATTCTGAGCAAGATACTGCTTGTGAGCTGTACCCAAATGAGACTAGTCTAGGTAGCTTCTCTGGATGCCATTGCCAGCACTTCCAGTCACAGGCATCCAAGGTGGACTTCAAACTTTTGGGAAAAGATGTTCCAAATGCACATTCCTTGAGCCCCAGTTTTTCCTGCTTCCCATAGGGTCAGCCAGATTCCTAGAGAAAATCAGACAGTCTGAGCACAAGAAGTCTGGGGTCTGGCTCTGGAAGATGTATCAATCCCTTGTCTGTCTGTCCCAGTATTTATTCTGCTGTATTATGCAGGATACTGGACCACCAATATGGTATAAGCCCACTGATTGTGTGGACCTGTGTGTGAAAAGCTATTCTTATATCAGGGGGCACATGATATATCAGTGTGCTCTGTCACTAGAGATGTCAGATTGATCACTTCACCATGTTTCTCCATTGTAATATTAGTTTCCTCCATTACATACTCTAGTTTGGGGAAGTGAGTAAGTAAATTCAGTTCATACTCATATGAGAGAGGGCAGGGGATTAGGCTTCTGGAATTCAACATAAATTATTTAGAATTTTTCTGTAAGAAAGTTTTGTTATTTATTTATTCAATTGTTTATATCAATGTAAGCTCATCTATATTTGTCTTATACTTTGGGCTATGATCCACTGCTACATTTCTTATTGCTCAAATTATTCCAGATTTTGCTATTGAGACTCTTTCAGTTTGACTCCTGTATCCCTCTAATATGCCCCCATACTTTGTTTTTTGAGTACCTTTTCCTTCCTCACATTATAATATGCTGAGAATTCATTTTATAGTTTCCCTTCTCGGGTGCCTGAAATAGCCAGTTCTCCAAAGGAAGCCTGGTTCTTTTTATTAAAGAATGGTATTACAAACATATGAGCACTGGTTGTATTCACTGCTAATGATGTATCACTGCTTCTAGAGCTAAGAAATTTAGATATGTATACTAATCCTTATATAAATGTACACTTATGAATAATTGCGTCTCTTTATCTATCTACATAGGTAAATATGAAGTCATTACTGATGTCTCTGACTCTAATTCAGAACTACAAATTTATTCCTGCCCTTATCCTTGTCCATTTGTAACACCCTCCTTTGATAACAAGAGCTAATCTCTCTCTACCCTCTATTTACTTATCTGTTCAAGGCCAGGATACTTGAGAAGGAGTTTCAGAATTATTGATCCACGCCTCCATGAAAATCAAATTTACCACATAAAGCATAGTATTTAGTATTTACGTACAGTTCCTTTTGTCTTTAGCCTTAGAGTTTTGAGTCAAAACATTGCTTTTCAAAGTTACTTGTATCAGCTCCATTTATGCTTTACCCTCTTCTGAAGTTAGGGCAGGTGATTTGACATTGAACAAAAGATGAATTTAGGTTTCTGGCTTTGACTGACTCTTGGACTTAAGCTGACCTATTCAGCACTTCTTTCCTGTATTTCAGCAGAGCAGCCTCTATGGACAGTACAGGTAGGTGGTGTGTGTCTTTTGCCCAATGTAATCTACCAATGGCACCCAGGATGGTCACTTCAATCTCTCCACAAGCTCCACATTAAGTGTCTTGAAGTTTTTAAGGGTGGACTTGACCATCTCTTCCAAGGGCTTTGGAGACCATTGATTAGCCATGTCAGTGGGACCTTCTAGTTTATGTCTTCTCTTGGCTTTACATTGTTACATTGTACTTCCCCAGGTTGATCTTAAGCCCCAGAAATATCTCTTACAGTAAAGTGATGAGTTTTCTCACTTTACTATAGGCCTTTATCTATCCTCTTTTTGGCAGCTATATAAGGTAGGAGTGGAATGATCACTGAAAAGGATCACATTCCATGATTCTGTGATAGTGATTCTTAGGATTAAGAGTTTAGAGGAAAACCTGGTTAGAAGATGTGTTGTTCTTTATTTTTGCTAAAAAAAAATCTTAAAGGTAAATTTACTATGATTAGAGACTTGCACTTGTAGTTCTTATTGAGTGATTGAAAGCCAGAATTCATGGTAGCATAACCAATGATAATGGTCATAAATAATGATGTAACCAGCATTAAATTAAATAAATGATAATAGAGAACTATAGGGACAAGATTTATTTATGTCAATACAAACAGATTCCCAAAACCATTAAGATATTGCTATATTTTTCTTGAGATAAGAAATACAAAAATTAGCCAAGAATGTGATGGATTTGATAGTGAAGAAGAAAGTATAGTCCTGCATTGTATTACAAGGTTTTAGTTAAAGATAGTATACATATACAATGGTGGTTCCATAAGATTATAATGGAGCTGAAATATTCCTATTGTCTGGTGATGTTGCAGCAGTCACAGCATCATAGTGCAATCACACAAACTTTAAATCACAGAATCATAACTTATTCCTGGACTTCCAAAGTAGAAAATATGGCAAATTGAATTGCATGCATTTTGGATCATGAAAATTTGTGCTTTAAGATAATAATAAGTTTATTTAAATATGTGAAATAATGAAAATTACCCCTAAATTAAATTTATCATGAACTGAATATTCAAAACTGTCAGACCTAGTAATGTACCATATGGTGGTTTCAGTTTTGCATCACTCTAATTGATCTAGGGTTATTCAGATTACCTCTCTTGGGTGAGTAATTGATGAATAAATAGATGAATACTTGCCTGGCACCAAAGAAAATACTTTAGTATTTTGAGATATATCTTGGGAAAGGAAAAATCTTCTAATGAAAGATTAGTATTATTTAATAGAATGCTACTTATGATGATTGATGGATAGGTGGAATAATAGCCATCTTGTTCATTTTATTGAATTCCTGTGAACCTGGTGTTATTTCTTCAACACTAGACAATGGAGCAGTTATCTGATCAATAACTTAAAAATGTTGACTGCAAGTGGTAGGTCACTCTCCATTACTTTTTCTCTTCACTCAGGTTACACAGTTATGTTTTTTTTTTACAATTTTCTTTATTCATTTATTTAGGCAAATGATATCTATTCTCTACAGATTGATTCCTTAAAAATCTGGTCTTAGGAATCTCAAGAGAAGATTTGAATTAAGGAGCCAGTATCACTGGGAAGTAAGGAGTTGAAAGACTGAAGTGTTAGAAATGAGAGAGAAGGAGCCCATCCAGTTTGAGTGTGGAAAGGTCCTCACCCACCTCAAGTGGATTAATTTGGTTGATGATTTGAAGAGCTACACAATTGAGTATTAGGAGTCACATGCCTCTTCCAATAATCAAAAGTGACCCCAGCAAGGTATATATACACTCTCAAGTTTCCATTAATATTAGTCCAAGTTTTGAGGGTTGGCACAAGAGCACTACACAAAGGCTAAAAATGAATGGAGTATAGAATTTAGCTCCAATGGCTATTAAGGATAACATATACCAAATTAAGATGACTCTGCCCTATGGGAAAGACAATCCCTTAATATTTAAAATTTCAATAAGAAAAAAACTTGTAGAAATACCACTAACACTAGGTAGATATTAACTCCTCTACGTCTTCCCACTGCCTGAAGGATTGGCTCTTCTATACTTAGAACAGTATAGATGACAGAGCTGCCTTGTTAACTTTGTTATGATGCATTATTTGAAATAAAACTGACTCAATATAAGGATGACCACAAAATATTGAGTATGGGAGTGCAAATGCATTATGAATCTCTTTATTATTTCTCTCAAGGCAGAAATTGTGAAGCCACAGTTAAATGTTACAAATTTCTTAATTACCACAGAATACTAGCACATATGTTATGTTTTCTATGGTACCTGATAAGTAAGAGCATTTTTATAAATAAAGAGGACTTGTTTAGAAATACAATGTCTATGTTCTGGGAAATGGTATAATTTGCTTAATAATGATAGATAATTAAGCTTTTAAGTCATGTATTTCCCATGAGAAGAATATTGATAGGTTGTGTGTGTGTGTGTGTGAGTGTGTGTGTGAGTGTGTGTGTGTGTGTGTGTGTGTGTGTCTTATTGTGCTCAGACTGCCATAAAAAGATACTACAGCCTAGGTGACAAATAAAGGAAATGTATTTTCTCAGTTTTGTAGACTCAAAAA